CTCCTAGTTCCGGTTATTGTCCAAGGAGAGAAGTGGAGGTTCTGCCCTAGTTCCGGTTATTGTTTAAGGAGAGAAGTGGAGGTTCTGCCCTAGTTCCAGTTACTGTTTAAGGAAAGAGAGGAGGAAGTTCTACCCAAGTTCCTATCTATTCAGGTACGGGGGAAAAGGGGATTATTTATATGTATAGTACATGAGGGAATTGGGTAGAGGAAGAATTCCTTAGGATTATGATTGATTTTACAATTATTTGATTTGGAGAATTATTGGTTCTATTAAAATTATCTGTGTTGAGGTTTATAAATATGCCTAAGTGTAGGAATGATGATCTGTGAAGAAGAATGAATTGTAAGGAAAATGCGGTGAGCTAGATTTTGGAATAATGAGGGGTTTTACTGTTTATATTAATTATTCTATTGATTATTATATTAATGAAAGTTATTGTTATATTACTTGTTAAGAATTAATGATATTGATGTGAATTGCTTGAGGGGTATGTAAACCCTATTTTATTGAGCTTATCTGTTATCTATGTGATATGGAATTGCGTACGTGATATGAATTTGAGTTATAAGATGAAAGGATGTATGAATGTGATTTTGATTGTGATTGTGGTGTCTCACATCGATGACTAGGGACGGCACGGCCCCTGGGTAAGTGGTGCTACAGGGAGGGCGTGACCCTAGCATGGTGTGGGATGAGTAAGACAGTTAACACCACCATTTATGTCGTTTATGGCAGCCCTGGCATAGGGTTAATTGCAAGAGATTGTATTGATTGTAATGTGATTGTGTTTCCTCACACCAAATGATTAGGGATGGCATGGCCCCTGGGTAAGTGATGCTACAGGGAGGGCATGACCCTGGTCTGGTGTGGGTTGAGTGAGGCAATTAACCTGTATCACTTGTGTCAGATATGGCGAGGTCTTGGCATAGTGTTAATTGTGAAATTGGCATGAATTATAGATGTTGAGATAATTGTTATATTGATGTGAATGAGGAAAGGTAAAAATGATAGTGTTAATTATAAAATCTAAATGGATTGTGATGGATTGATAAATTATGATACATGCTCGTAAATATTTTATTAAATAAAGAAAATATGATGAGATTTTAACATGGTGTGTTTGGATGTACTTTGCATATAGATATCTTCTTTTCTCACCGTATAAATTGTGGATATTTTAGGTGGAGAGGATCCGGCTGCAAGTGGCATATAGGATGCCAACAGTTTTATTTTGGGAAATGCTCTGATATTGTGACATCGGGGCAAAGGATTTTTAGGAGCGAAATATTCGTGTGAATTTGGTACTGTAATATTATTTTGAAAACAATTTGTAAAAACTCTTGTGTGTTATGTGTTATATTTTTGCTAATGTGGTTGTTCGAAGTTTCTCATGTGAACCCTTTTACTGTAATTGAAAGATTTATTACAATATATGTGTTGGGGTAGTAAGGGTGTCACATTTAGTGGTATCAGAGCAGGTCGATTCAATCGGCCGTAAGTTATGAGTCTGCTATGCTTGTTTGGTAGATGAATGGTGTAGTAAATTGATTGTTGAATTTATTGATATAACGACGGTTGATTAAATTTGTTGTTTTAGAGTATGATTGTTAGCTTTTCTGGGAGGACAGAAAAACAATGGCAGGAGG